GTGGAGGCCATGAGTCTGCTCTCCTGGACTGTAGCTCAGCCTCAGAGAGAAACACCTGCTCACCTGGCAGAGCTGTTAGCCTCACCTGCTCAGGTAGAAGTTTCAAAGATTCAAAGGCAGTACAAACTGATTAACTGGGTCAAAGTTATTTGCCTGGGAAAATATTTCCCCAAAATCTGTATTGGTTGATTTCATCAATCTCACTTTATTCTCTCTCTGATGACTCTCCTGTTTCTCTTCAGAGCCGATCAGACTGGTGGGAGAAGAGAGTCGCTGTGCAGGAGCTCTGGAGCTGAAGCTTCGGGGAGAATGGAGACCAGTGATTGGTTTTCCTACCTGGACCCTGGAGGCAGCAGGTGTTCTCTGCAGAGATCTGGGCTGTGGCTCTGCTGTTTCTGTGGGAGAGAGAAAGGAGTCCTCAGAAAGACCTGTGTGGGGGATCAGATCTGAATGTGTTGAGTCTGGATCTGCTCTGAGGGAGTGTGCAACAGCAAGTTCCTCTTCCCACTCCCTGACTCTTACCTGTTCAGGTAAGCTCCTTTGACTCTTTTTCAGAATTTCACTGTTCCTCGAAATGTGATGTTTCCTCACAATTTGACTTTTCCTCAAATGTTGACTTTTTTCTCAAATTTTGATTTTTAATTAAATAACAAATAAGAACATAGAAAAAAAAGATAAATAAGAAAATACAATAACAATTATAAAAGTAACTGTTTCTTTACCTCAGTTGTATCTTCTGTCCTCTGCAGACTCTGTCAGGCTGGTGAATGGGACCAGTCTGTGCTCAGGTAGACTGGAGGTGAACTCTAACCAGACTAACCCGTCCTGGTCCTCAGTGTGTGAGGCTGACTTTGACCAGCAGGATGCTCAGGTGGTCTGCAGGCAGCTGGGCTGTGGGGCTCCTTCAGTCCTCCAGGGGGCGCTCTATGGAGAAGGGGAGGCTCCAATGTGGACCAAAGAGTTCCAGTGTGGAGGCCATGAGTCTGCTCTCCTGGACTGTAGCTCAGCCTCAGAGAGAAACACCTGCTCACCTGGCAGAGCTGTTAGCCTCACCTGCTCAGGTAAAATATTAAAAGGTTTAAGGTTTGATTGTCATATACAACAATAAAAATGGTGCAAGAAGTTTCATCTTGCAATCTACTTATTTACTTATTTATATAAATAGTTATCACCGCAATAAACCGTTTTTAATTTTGTCTTAACGTACATTATTTACTTTCATATTCTGTTCTTGTACATATCATATTGTATTTACATGTATACAGACTTATTGCACTATTTTAAATGTTGTATTTGTTTCTCAAATTTGACTTTTCCTCAAAATGTGACTTTTTCTCAAAATTGTTATTTCTCCAAAGTTCACTTTTTTCTTAGAGTTTGACTTTTTGACTTTTTTTCTCAACATTTAACTTTTTTTTTTGTATTTGACTTTTTTTCTCTAAATTGTACTTGTTACACAAATATGACTTTTTTCTCAGAGTTTATGTCTTTTTCCTCAAAATGCTGACTTTTTCCACAGAATGTTTCATTGCCATTTCTAACCTATAGCTCATGAATTTGATATACATGTAAATGATTATGAAGTAGAGGAGCTGCTGCTGTGATTGGTTCATTTCATCAAACTCAATGTACTCTCTCTCTGATGACTCTCTTTTTTCTCTTCAGAGCTGGTCAGACTGGTGGGAGGAGAGAGTCACTGTACATGAGAACTGGAGGTAAATCTTCATGGAGACTGGAGGCTAGTGGGCTATTACTCTCTCTGGACCCTGAAGGCGGCAGGTGTTGCCTGCAGAGAGCTCGACTGTGGCTCTGCTGTTTCTGTAGGACACAGAGAGTCCTCAAATTAGACTTATTTCTCAGAGTTTTTTACTGTATTCTCACATTTTGACTTTTTCCTCCCAATTTTGACTTTTTCCACGAAATATTAGGTTTTTTTTTGAGAACTTGACTGTTTTCTCCAAATGTGGCTTTGTTGAGGTTTCAATATAGAGTTGAATAATTAAAACGAAAGTTCATATAATCAAAGATAATCTTGTATGACCCACAATGAAAATGTATTATATTTCATGTTGTTCTATACTCACAATATATACAACATGTCTGTGCTTTGGAAAATGTAGTTTAAAGCCTCTTATAGTTTATCTCTATGGGTGTCACTGTCTAGCAGAGGGGAGACAGTTGTCTTCACTCACTCAGGCTGTAGAGAGGAGACCCCTGACTCAATGGAAAAGTACTGGAGCCCCAAAATGTGTTTGGGCCATACCATAGGAGACAAGTCTGGATATGTTGGTAAGTTCTCTCAACTTGGTAAGTACTCCTAAAGAGATTTTAATATTACCAACGGAAGAGGGCTGTTGAATTTAATATCACAACTGAAGAGCGACAGTTGAAGACATTTTAATGTATTTGATTTCACACCCGGTAATCTATGAGGGTTTTCCTCTGAATTCTAGTGGAAGAGGTTTTTAATGCTGAAGAGGGACAGTTGAAGAGAGATTTACCAAATAAACTAAGAAATGTAAAACTGTGAATTGAGGTTTTTGATTAGTAATTTACCACAGCATGAAATATTTTGTATGATTGTCACATTGTAACGAGAGAAGGTAAAAACCCTGTAAAAGTGTGAACCATTTTCTTCAAATAAATTCATCCCACCCTTTTGGACTGGGATATCTTAAAAGAAATCTGCGTCCTCTCCTGCTTTAAGGTAAGCACACTTCCACACTCACACTTAGGCAGGGCCACACCTCATTACAGATACCAGAATCCTACGGGATCGCTTAAACAGATTTAGTGCGTCATCTGAATTCAAAAAGCAGTTAATTGAACCTGGTTCTTCGGAAGTTAGTAGAGGTGAGACCTTGCTGATCCAGGTGGATCCGAGCCAAGCAGTACACTTACATTGACTCAATAGCTTCTGTTAGGTCAATTAGTAGGACTGATTAATTGCCAGAATAATTAATACAGGCCTGCCGACTCCAACAGCAGCATACACAAAAGTGAAATAAATATTATAAATATTCTGAAAGCAGAATTAAAATCACTGATCTGAACCCACCTAACTCTGTGCTAGTGATACAAACCTGTTTTGTCATATTGGGCTACACAAATAAATGTTGAGGATTTCATATGCAGTGGCCGCTGCCTTGTAAGCCGGTTCGAACCCCAAGCTTTTTGATTCGAAGTCAGAATGTCCCGATAATTCGGTTTTTACTAAAAATATATATTTTTTTTTTTTGCTGTGTTTTTGTGTGTGTTTGAGTGTGTGTTTGTTTGTGTGCATGTATATGTGTGTCCGTGTGTCACAGAAGAAAAGAAAAAAAAACTGAATTTTTAATAAAAACCTGAATTACGGTGTTAATTTTCGTGAGCTGTTGCAGTATCCCAGAACAACTGCATTGTATTGAAACCCATATTTAACACAAGTTCTGTTTTTGTAAAATAGTGGGATTTTGGAGACTTTTAATGTTTGAGCTCTCGAGAAACACTTCCACTCTGTCAGTCAGCAGCACACTGACCCTGTCCTGCTAATACAAAGTGTCCTCGTAGTGTCTGTGTTTACTCATACCACATGTGTGCTTGGGCCACATAAACCAGCACACTAACACATATATGACATATCTGAATAAATAACGAAAGAACACACACACACACACACACACACACACACACACACACACACACACACACGGACACGGACATGCAGAAACAAACATGCACACACACTCATACACACACACATTAACATACACATTCACACTCAAAAAGACATACCTGAATAAAGACAAACACTTGCACACAGATACATATACACACACCCACACACAGACTCAAACAGACATTTACCTACAGAAACACACAAACGCACATGCACATGCATACTCAAACAGACACATGTACACTAGTGCAAACAGACATGCACACACACACACACATTAACACTAGGGGTGTAACGGTTCACAAACATTTTGGTTCGGTACATACCTCGGTGTTCAGGTCACGGTTCGGTTCGGTACGTTTTCGGGACTGCAGAAACAATTATCACAAAACATAAAATATATATATATATTTTTAATTATTATTAAACTGTGAATAATGTATTCACTCAAATAAATACAAAATATAATAAAATAAACATTAAGGTGCAGCATTTCGATGAACTGAAATAATCTGTATTTGAACTGTACTGTACTCGTACCTAAGCAGCCAGTTTGACATTAGGCTTCTCATTGTATTTTCATGTTTGTTTAAAGAAAAATGAACTTGCTTGCCCAAAGGGCAGATCTGCTGGCACTAACAATGTCTCCTGCTGTGGAGAACACCCTCTCTAGGGACAGAGGTAGCAGATACAGCCAGGTAGGGCTTTGCTAACATGGCAACATAAGGATATTTGGCGTTTGTAATAGCTTTGGCTCGGTCTGAACTTTTTGCGAGTGGTGGAGGCTTAAATGCTAGTGGGAGTTGGGTTTGCACTTCAGTCTTTTTTCTTTTGGTACGGTTGATATTCACGTTTGGGTGATGCCTTTTCAAATGAGTGTGCAAGTTTGATGTATTGCCAACACGTAACCAATTTGAGTTTAACAATGCCGGCAAACAGCTTTGGTTCGGTCCACCTGTCTTTGTCCGTCATCCTTGTACGTAACTGCGAAACCAAAATGTTCCCAAACCGAAGACTTCAATGATGCTGGAGGATTTTTGAGCTTAACTTTATCTGCGTTCGCCATTTCGACAGTTCCTCAAATTACTGACTAAATTTGAACGCATCCCTCTGACCAGCTCTCATAGTATGCCTCTCGTCCACTGAAATGACTTGGTTGCTCTATGACGCGTTGAACCCAATGTGAGCAAATTACTCTGAATACTGCGACGCAGCACCTGAGATTACTTCCAAAAAGTTGTTCACGTTCTCAATATTTAACGTTTAACGTTATATTCGTTCGGTAAACTTCCTTTACACCCCTAGTGAATAAACGACCCTCCGGAGCATTTGCAATCAAGAGGAGCATGTTGTTTCTTACACGACCACCAGAGGTGCTAGACTTTAAAACGTGACTATGAGTTGTAATAAGCTGCTGAACAATCAACGTATTTGGTCGTTTTTCGTAGGAGGACAGGCGGATTCTTCTTCAGACCGCGACTGAAGGGGAATCTACTGTAGTAAAAGATTGCTGGAGTACCACTTTAAAACAAAACAAAAACTTTAGAATTAACCAAAAAATCTGTATGTCCTTTTCATGCATACCACATGAAACATGTAGGGAGTTTATTACACTGTAATGGTATTTAACTGAGTGGGAGAGTCAATGAAGCGCCATTAGATGAAGGTTAACACAAGAGAACAGTCAATTGTCCCTAAGAAGATTTGACTCCAATGGCTGCATGTGGTGAGGAGTTGGCTTTTCATAAGTGCAACATCTATGGATAGTTAACCCTGTAAGGCCCACTGTTGTAATTTTACAACATTACTTTAAGCTATCCTAAAAAAGTCAGTAAATGTTTTTGTTTTTTAAAGACTACATTTACATTGTCAAAAGGTCCTTTTGTTCAGCCTCACAATGCTATTGGGTAGTAAATGTGTTTCTAGGTCCTGGAGCATACACTCGCACAACTTCAGAATCCTCCGACGAGCAACATCTCTTTTTTTATTGGACTGGATTTGTCAGATTCAAGTAAGTAAAATGCCTGAAAAATTCTAATGTTTTTCTATATTTGGGCTTTACAGGGTTAAATACCCCGGAGGATAAAAAAAGGCTGACTCTCACCGCTGTTAGGCCACAGACCTAACCTCTCATACACTTTACAGTTGTCAATGACTGTAATACTGATGATTCCCTATAGTCAACTGCATTTTATTTAATACATCTTGAAATAAGCCAAGGTAGTTATTGTGTATCTGCACAACTACAGCACCATTTTGGAGTTAGGGCAATTAGTGGAATATGTTTGCAATACCTTCTGGGCATTATGTGTAGACAACGAAATGCATTAGGCTCTCTGCTAGCTGCAGCTGCCTCCCTGCTGCTCCCTGAGTGACCCTGAACTCCAACAATTACTCTCTTCTGACGCTCAGTGCATCACCAAAGCATGTAAGTGCAGAGCGGTGCACTAAACGCAAGCATCACGTTGAGAAACATAAGCCGGACAATTATCTCTCTATGGTTTCTATTGCAAACATGCCAATTACCGGCACTGCCACCTGCACACAAATGAATTCCCGCAGGACCAGACTACACCCACTCTGCAATCCTTTCACAAGCAGCACTTGCCTGTGGATTTTGGTTTAATTTCACAGCAGTACATCTGCGACTGTGTTGTTTCGATGAGTGAACTGACCCTACATTAAACACTAAAGTACATTACATTTTTTGGGAAATTTCATTTTTATATTTTGTCTGTATACTGAAAAAAAAAGCCTTGGCTTCAACATTTATTATACCATACGAAACAATTTTTTTCTTCTGATGGCAGTGTGTTAGCATCTCGAGGGATGGCGAGACTTGACGTAACGACTCCCCTGATGCTGTCAAGTGAAATCCAATATTTTCTTCTGTCATATCCGTGCGGACAGAACCGATACTCTGCTAATCACTATTCAACACAGGCTTGTCACTATTTGACAAACCGATATATTGTTCTAACCCTGGTTGCAACATGGGCAACTCTTTGTCCTCTGTTATGTCAAATCAGCAATCTGTTTCCTGTCAAAGTTTACCTTCGGATCAGACCCTTTACAAGTCGCGTACAGTTATTGGACCCCCTCGGTGCTGTGTTGCTTTTCACCGTGCAGCACCATCCTGGTAGCAGCTGGTTAGGGGGAGGTGGCAGGGAACTATTGATCGTATTAAGCCTGGCAAATGACCTCTGGAGTATTTTTAGACCGGAGCCACAAGACTGGGGAGGAAGAAGGCCATTTTCATGAATGACGAATAAGGCGGATGTTTCTACCGCAAAGGACGGCCTCCACCGCATCAAGAGTATGCAAAGCCCTCCCCCGAGGCTTGGTTAATTTTTCCAACCACTCCATGTACTCCCCCCCACCACCCCTTTGCTCCCTATCCCCTGTGCCCTCTACATGAATAGCGCCGCTGAGTGATTGAATTGTTTGCTGATGGAACAATCCCGGCCATCTTTAACTTAAAAGCTCTCACCATAAATCAAAGCAAACATTTCTTCTACCTGAATGATTAATGAAATGTAATATCTTTATGTAAATGCTGGTTTCCCCCGCACACCACAGGCACATGTTGAAGTGGCATGGTGAAACAAGGTTAAAGAACAGGATACGATTGGATAAAAAAAGGTCTTATGATTTATCTAGAATGGTTTACAGGTTGCCGCCATGTCCTTGTCAGTCTGGTCACATATTGTTCCATGTAATTTCCTCACTGATGAATTGACTAAATGATTCTTACTCACGGCATTTGCTGATAAGCACCTATTTATGAATGTAAAATGGCTTTTTAGTGAGAGCATTACATGGCAAACACACTGGTTAATCTATCAATACTT